GCATTTCAATAAAACTTTATGGACACTGAAATGTGAATTTCATATAATTTTTTTTTTTTGAGACAGAGTCTTGCTCTGTCACCCAGGCTTGAGTGCAGTTGCCCAGTCTCTGCTCACTGCAACCTCCACCTCCCAGGTTCAAGCAATTCTCCTGTCTTAGCCTCCCGAGTGGCTGGGATTACAGGCATACACCACCATGCCCTGCTGAATTTCATAAAATTTTAATTCATCACAAAATAATGTTCTTCTTTTAATTTTTTTAAACACACTTAAAATGTAAAAAACATTAGCTTTCAGGTCATACAAAAACAGGTGGCAGGATGAATTTGGCCTACAGGACAGAATTTGCCAACTCTAACCATTTAGAATTTGCCCACAGTGTGAAATAAGCAGGTGGCCAAAATAAGATGGTCAATGAAAATATTCTTTCTACTTAAAAACAAATCAGTCAATAATTTACTGTCTCAGACAGATAAGAAATATCTGAGGGGAGAAAAGGGAAGTAATAAGACCTAGTGTATCCCACAAGCAAAATACTTTGATTTTTTATTATCCTGACTGGGTACCAGAAAAGGAATAGGTGGCTTGCTGGAGATGAAGATGCTATAACCTTCTTGGCAGAAAGAACTCATTCAACACTGTTTAGACTCCTAGTTACTATCAGCTTCTTAGGAGCTTTACATGAATTAAGAAAATCTTGCATATTTTGACCCAACTTTAACTTTACAACCAGAGATAAAGGAAAAGCTGAAAGGATGAAGCAGCTTGTAAAAATAAATGAAAAACACATATAAACTAGCATTAAACATTGGGTCAGCCAAGTATATGAATCAGAACGGAAGAAATAAAATAATTATTATTTGCAGATAAAATGTCTGGGTATAAAAATCCAAAGAACTTGTAGACAAATAATTAAAACCAATAGGTGAATTTAACTAGAAAATTGGATACAAGGTCAGAAATCAATTGTATTTCCACATACCTGCAACAAACAAAAAATGAACTTTAAATAACAATACTATTCATGAGAGTATCAGAAAACACCAAATACAAATTGTAGCTATAAATGTAAGAGACACATGCCATGCAAGAATTCTATTCTGAAAATAATAATATATTATATAATAAATTAAAGCAGATCCAGACAAATGGAGGGACGTATGATGTTCAAGGACCAGAAGACTCCATACTACAAAGATGTAAATTGTCTCCACATAGATATACATATTGAGTGCAATCGCAATCAAAATCATAACAGATTATCTTGTAGAGTTTGGCAAATTGACTCTAAAATTTACGTAGAAATGTAAAGCTCCAAGGACTGCCAAGACAATGTTGAAGAAAAAAACTCAAGGCCTTACTCTACCAGATACCTAGACCTATTAAAAAGCTACTATAGGCTGAGTGCAGTGGCTCATGCTTCTACTCCTAGCACTTTCAGAGGTCATGGCAGGAAGATCACCTGAGCCCAGGAGTTCAAGACCAGCCTAAGCAATATGGGGAGAATCTGTCTTTGCAAAACATTTAAAAATTAGCTGGCCATGGTGAGCTGTGATAATATCACCACACTCCAGCCTGGGTGACAGAGTAAGTCCCCATTGCAAAAAAAAAAAAAAGGCTACAAGGCTACTATAATTAAACATTATGGTAGTAGCACAGAAGAGGCAATGGAACAGAATGGAGTCCAGGCATATACCCACCATATATCTGATATCATAAAGGCAATACTGCAGCACAGTGTGGAAATAATGATTCTTTTGATAAATGATGCTGTCTCAACTGAATATCCATATGGGGAAAAAAATTTACCTTGGCCCCTAACTTATACCATATACAAAAATTAATTCCAAATGGACTGCAGATCTAAATACGAAAGGTAAAGTGGTAAAACGTTTAGAAAAACACATAGAATATCTTTCAGACCTTGGGCTAGGTGTAGATTTCTTTTTTTTTCTATTTTATTTTTCTTACCAAATTTTTGAATGCATCCAGAAAATTTAACTAGAGCACAAAGAAACACTAAGCATAAAAGACAAACATGCATAAATTGGTAACATTAAGATTAGGAATTTCTGTTAATCTAAAGACAATATTTAAAAAGTGAAATGCTGCAATCCCAGTACTTCAAGAGGTCAAGGCAGGAGGATCATTTGAGCCGTAGAGCTTGAGATCAGCCTAGGTAACATAGCAAGACCCCATCTCTGCAAAAATATAAAAATACAAAATTAGTTGGGTGTTGTGGCACACACCTGTAGTCCTAACTACTCAGGAGGGTGAAGCAGGAAGATCGCTTGAGCTCAGGAGTTCAAGATTGCAGTGAGCTGTGATCATACCACTGCACTCCAGCATGGGTGACAGAGTGAGACCCTATATCTCAAAAAAAAAAAAGTAAAATGACATGCTACAGAGTGGTGGAAGGTATCTGTGATAGTTTTTTTGTGTGTCTATATACGTGTGTGTGTGTGTGTGTGTGTGTGTGTGTGTATATGTATAGATCTCCAACGAAAGACTCATATCCACACTACATATGTCCTAAAATTGAATAAGAATTAATAATTATAAGAAAGACAGGCAACCCAATACAAAGGGGGGAAAAGAACTCAAACAGATACTTCACAAAATAAAATATCCAAATGGTCAATAAATACTTACAAAGGTGCATAAATATATGAGTCCATGAGGAAATATAAATTAAAATCATAATATAATACTACAACATACCCACTAGAATGGCTAAAATAAAAACAATAAGCAATACTAAGTGTTAATTGAGGATATAGAGCACTGGAACTCTCATATGCTGCTAATGAGATTATAAATGGGGACAAACACTTTGGAAAACTCTTTGGCAATACCTGCCAAAGCTAAACATATCCATAAACTGCAAATTAGCAAGTTCCTTCATAGGTATACATCCAATAAAAATGTATATGTATGTGTGCTCACCAAAACCTATGTACTAGAATTTTCATAGCAGCATTATCTGGAAGAATCCCAAATTAGAAACTATCCAAATGCCCATCAACAGTACAATGAATTGTTCTATATACATACATATGAATGACGTATTATACAGCAGCAACAAACTACAAATATTTGTAACAATATGGATGAATTTCATAAACAATACTAAACTTAAGAAACCCAGACACAGCTGGGCATGGTGTCTGACAACTGTAATCCTAGCACTTTGGGAGGCCAAGATGGGTGGATCACTTGAGCCCAGGAATTTAAGACCAGCTTGGGTACCAGAGTGAGACCTTGTCTCTACAAAAAAATAAATAAATAAATAAAAACAATTAGCTGGGTGTGGTAGTACAGTCCTACTGTCCCAGTTACTCGGGAGACTGAAGTGGGAGGATTACTTGAGCTCAGAAGTTCAAAGTTATAGTGAGCTATGATAATGCTGTGCCACTGCATTCAAGTCTGGGCTACAGAGCAAAACCCTGTCTCAAAAAAAAAAAAAAAAAAAAGCTCAGACACAAAAGAATACATATCATATCATTCTACTTACTTAAAATTTAATCACCTATGATGTAAGAAGTCAGGACAGTGGTTACCCTTAAGAGCAATGTCCTAGTGGAAGAACATGAGGGGATAACTGGGAGGTTGATAACATTTGTTTGTTGTCCTGGGTGCTGATCACACTTGGTGAACATTCACTAAGCTATCCATTTATGATTTCCATTGTACATTATAATTCCAAAAAACTAGGCTACACAGAAAAGGAGGGTGGAAAGATAAGACAAACTGAAGAGAAAAGTTAGTATACAAAAATAAAAATTTATGCTTACGGCGCCAGATATCTGGCAGGAGTACAGCACAAATGTGTCTCTGAGCATCCCTGCAGTCAAGGTAAACAGGGCGATGCAATCAGTTAAATTACTCAGTGTCCATAAGATAAAAACAAACCAACTCTGGTTAGGAAGAATAAAATTATTCTCAGAACTAAGATCTGAGAGAAATTTCTCCTGCAGGTTCTCAGAGCAAGATGTCATTTAACACAGTAGAATAACATACGTCTTCAACCACATCCTTATAATAGAGGCCACAGTAATTGATACAATGACCTTCTCCATAGGCTGATGCCATAAAACCAAAGCACAATTCAAAGACAGTAATTGGGGTCAAGGAGTAGAATGGGGAAAGCAAAACACTGTAGTGTAGGCGTGCCATCTAAGAGATGTACATGAACAAATAAATAGTTTAATAGTCTACATATTTTTCAGCCTATTTCCCATAATGCTTCTCTAAACCAAGTTAAAAAGCATTGCCTGATAGTGAGTTCAAGGTCACATTCTCAGAGACAAGATTCTGGAGTCCAGCTATTGGAACAGTTAAATTTCTACCCACAGGAGAAAATTAGCCATTCATTGGAACAGTCAGTGGAACTGGGAAGTTGGACTAATAGTCTCTGAAAGGCTATCAGTGAAAGTTAACATGCATTATAACTATTATATTACTATTCATGTCTCTTTCATGAATACAGATCTGTTTTTTTCCCTATGGCAAGTTTTAAGGAAGATACTCTACAAGCTACTCTTCAAACTCATGCCAGTCTTATCCATCTTAACCAGGAGGCAGCTATAGTGTCTGATTTTTACTATAGGCAGGGTAAGGCTGAATGCCAAGCCCTTTATGTGGGCCTAACCCTGCCTTTCCAGTCTCATCCCTTATCTTTCCTCATCTACCACCCAATGCTCCCAACCACACCTCACTGCTCCGTGTTTTCCAAACATGCCATATAGTCTCAGGCCTCCTATCTTTGTTCATGTTGGTCAGACCTGGTATTTTCTCACAGAGAAAGAAATCAGGTATCCAGACTTTGTGGCAATGCCCTCTTTTGTCTATCACTTCACTACGTCTGTGACAGGATGATCTATCTGATTTTATATTATTCCTGCCTCCTATAAACTCACCCCTCAGCCTCCATATCACAGGACTAAGTCCTAAATGAAAACATCCCTTTGAACATATGGTGAAGCTGGTTAATCACTTACCCTACAATATGGCTCCTTCTTTCTTATATCCTCCTGCTGGATCAGCCTCAGGCCCTGGACACCATTCTGCAGGCCTCTCTCATATAGAGCCTTAAGTCTGGGAATTTCTTCTTGTTCAACAGCTACTATAAGCTGCAAAAAAAAAAAAAAGGTAAGGAGCATGGATAGAGGTGAATGTATCATCAGTGATGAAAGATAAAGTCAATGAAAAATCATCAACTACTGTATGACCCAAACAAGGCTATTTTTTAAATTTTTAATTTAATTTTATTTTTTTTGAGACAGAGTTTCACTCTTGTTGCCAAGGCTGGAGTGCAATGGTGCGATCTCAGCTCACCACAACCTCCACCTCCCAAGTTCAAGCAATTCTCCTGCCTCAGCCTCCTGAGTAGCTGGGATACAGGCATATGCCACCATGCCTGGCTAATTTTGTATTTTTAGCAGAGATGGGGTTTCTCCTTGTTGGTCAGGCTGGTCTCAAACTCCTGACCTCAGGTGTTCTGCCCACCTCCACCTCCCAAAGTACTGGGATTACAGGCGTGAGCCACTGTTCCTGGCCAAGGTTATTTTTTAAAATGATTTTTTCTTAAGATGTCTAATTCTTACTTTCTTCATGACTATTTTCTTCTTCCACCAAGAAAAGTTGTCTTAAGAACATGGCATTAAAACAAATTTTCCCTAAAAATGAAATGTAGGCTCAATTTCCACTTCTGTTATCATAGTCTCCATTTATGTCTTAGCCATAAGTAACTCTTACCACTACCGCATTCTCAATCCCAAAGGGGAGAGAAGGATAAGTTGCTTAGGCTTTATTTTTTTTCCCAAAACAGAATGGCCTTTTTATTTCTTCAGGAAAATGTAAAATATCAGCACATCATGAAGACAATTGGTATTCAGTGTAATTGAATATAATTGACAAAACAATCCCTTTTATTTTTGGAATACATTATATTTACTAATGTATTCTGTAGCAGAGGGAAAACAGCAAATTTGTCAACTTATTTCTTTTTTATTTATTTCTGGGAAAAATAACTGACGTATACTTTCTTCCTTACTTAAGGAAAAGAGCAAAGTAAAACACAGGTGCATATTTAAAGGTACATTGGAATTCACAAGTCATTATTTCATACAAAAGTCTAAAGAATTTCATGAGGTGACACTTTTAATCAAGGTGCAAAGGCTATTTAAATCAATAAATAATTAACCTTAAAAACAGAAGTGGAATCAAAGGACTCTATCAAGCAGGTGAAAAGACAACCCACACAATGGAAAAAATATTTGCAAAACATATAGTTGACAAAGATCTAGTATTTAGAATATACAAAGAACTCTTAAAACAATTACAATGATAAAAACTGTAACTAGACTTTTATATCTTGCCCTTTTCACCTAAGATTCCATCAGGCCCATTTTACTAAATTATTTTTTAAAATGTGGCCATACACAGGGGCTCATGTTTACAATCCAAGCTACTTCAAAGGCTGAGGCAGGAAGACCACTTAAGCCCCGAAGTTTGAGGCTGCAGTGAGCTGTGATTGTGCCACTGCACTCCAGCCTGGGCAACAGAGCAAGACTCTGTCTCTTTAAAAAATTTGTTTCTATTGTTTAAATTTCTATTTATTCATTTATTTATTTATTTGAGACACAGTGTCACTCCCATCACCTAGGCTGTAGTGTAGTGGCCCATTCATGACTCCCTGCAGCCTCAACTTTCCAAGCTCAGGTGATTCTCCCACCTCAGCCTTCCTAAAAGCTGGGACTACAGGGATGTGCCACCACACTTGGCTAATTTTTTATACTTTTAGTAGAGACAGCATTTTACCACATTGCCCAGACTGGTCTCAACCTCCTGAGCTCAAGCAATCTGCCCATCTTGGCCTCCCAAAGTGCTAAAATTACAGGAATGAGCCACTGAGTCTAGCCCTACAATTATTTATAGCATCTTTTTTTTGAGACGGTGTTTTACTAGTCACCCAAGCTGAAGCACAATGGTGCAATCTAGGCTCACTGCAACCTCCACCTTCCAGACTTAAGCGATTCTCCTGCCTCAGCCTCCCGAGTAGCTGGGATTACAGGCACCCTCCATCACATCCAGCTGATTTTTGTATTTTTAGTAGAGATGGGGTTTCACCATCTTGGCCAGGCTGGTCTTGAACTCCTGACCTCAGGTGAGCCGCCCACCTCAGCCTCCCAAAGTGCTATGATTACAGGCATGAGCCACTGTGCTTGGCATCATAGAATCTTTAATGGTGACAATGAGCTTTTATTCTTAAAAATTATAAGGGCCAAACACAGTGGCTCATGCCTGTAATCCTAGCACTTTGAGAGGCTGAGGCTGACAGATCACTTGAGTTTAGGAGTTCAAAAACAGCCTTGGGAAACATGGCAAAACCCTGTCTCTATGAAAAAAAATACAAAAAAATTAGTTGAGTGTGGTAGTGTGCACCTGTAGTCCCAGCTACTAGTGGGCCGAGATGGGAGGGTCGCTTGCGCTCAGGAGGTCAAGGCTACAGAGAGCCGAGATTGCGCCACTGCATTCCATACCTCAACACAATAAAAGCCATATACAACAGACCCACAGCTAGTATCATACTGACTGAGGGAAAACTTAACCGTTTTCCCTAAGATCTGGAACATGACAAAGATGCTCACTTTCACCACTGTTATTCAACATAGTATCGGAAGTCCTAGCTGGAGCAATCAGATGAGAGAAAGAAATAAAGGGCCTCCAAACAGGAAAAAAAGAAGTCAAATAATCCTTGTTTGCTGATTATATGATCTTATATTTGGAAAAACCTAAAGATTCCAACAAAAAACTATTAGAACTAATAAACAAATTCATTAAAGTTGCTTAATAGGATACAGAAGCATTTCTTTCTTTCTTTCTTTTTTTTTTAATGAGATGAAGTCTCCCTCTGTCACCTAGGCTGGAGTGCAGTGACACGATCTCAGCTCACTGAAACCTCCACTTCCCAGTTCAAGCAATCCTCGTGCCTCAGCCTCCTGAGTAGATGGGACTACAGATGTACACCACCATGTCCAGCTAATTTTTGTATTTTTAATAGAGATGGGGTTTCATCATGTTGGCCACGCTGGTCTCAAGCTTCTGACCTCAGGTGATCTGCCAGCCTCAGGCTCCCAAAGTGCTGGGGTTACAAGTATGAGCCACCACACCCAGCCAACAATCAGTAGCATTTCTATATGCCAACAAGCAAACAATCTAACAATCAAAAAAGTAATCCCATTTATAATAGCTACAAATAAAATAAAGTATCAAGGAATTAACTAAACCAGAGACATGAAAGATCTCTACAATAAAATGTATAAAATATTTGATGTAAGAAATTGAAGAGGACTCCAAAAAAAGGAAAGATATTCCATGTTCATTGATTGTAAGAATTAATATTGTTTAAATGTTCATACTACCCAAAGCAGTTTACAAATTCAATGCAATCCCTATCAAAATACTAATGACACTCTTCACAGAAATAGAAAACAAAAATCCTAAAATTTATGTGGAACTACAAAAGACCCAGAATAGCCAAAGCTATCTTGAGCAGAAAGAACAGAACTGGAAGAAGAATCGCATTATTTGACTTCAAATTATATATACTACAATGGTAAAGTAACCAAAACAACATGGCTTAAAAAGACATGTAGAACAATAGAACAGAATAGAGAATCCAGAAACAAACCCACACACCTACAGTGAACTCATTTTTGACAAAGGTGCCAACAACATACACTGGGAAAAGGACACACTCATCAATAAATCATGCTAGGAAAACTGGATATACATATGCATACGAATGAAACTAGACTCCTATCTCTCGTCATATACAAAAATCACATCAAAATGGATTAAAGACATATTTAAAACCTCAACCTATGAAACTACTACAAGAAAACACTGGGGAAACTCTATAGGACATTAGACTAGGCAAAGATTTCTTTTTTTTTTAAGACGGAATTTCACTCTTGTTGCCCAGGCTGGAGTACAATGGTGCAATCTCGACTCACTGCAACCTCCACCTTCCGGGTTCAAACGATTCTCCTGCCTCAGCCTCCCGAGTAGCTGGGACTACAGGCTGGTGCCCTCACATCCAGCTAATTTTTTGTATTTTTAGTAGAGACAGGGTTTCACTGGTCTTTCTATCTCCTAACCTTGTGGATGGTCTTGATCTCCTGACCTCATGATCCGCCCATCTTGGCCTCCCAAAGTGCTGGGATTACAGGTGTGAGCCACCACGCCCGGCAGATTGCTTGAGTAATATCCCACAAGCACAAGCAACCAAAGCAGAAAAGGACAAATGGGACACATCAAGTTGAAAAGCTTCTGTACAGTAAAGGAAACAATCAAAAGTGAAGAGACAATCCACAAAATGGGAGAAAATACTTGCAAACTACCCATCTGACAAGAGATAATAACCAGAATATATAAGTAGGTCAAACAACTCTATAGGAAAAAAACCTAATAATCTGATTTTAAAATAGGCAAAAGATCTGAAGAAACATTTCTCAAAAGAAGACATACAAATGTCAAACAAGTATATGAAAAGCGCTCAACAACATCACTGATCATAGGAGAAATGCAAATCAAAACTACACTGAGATATCATCTCACCCCAGAAAAAATGGCTTTTATCTAAAAGCGAGGAAATAACAAATGCTGGTGAGGATGTGGAGAAAAGGGAACCCTCATCCACCACTGATGGGAACATAAACTAGTACAACCACTATGGAGAACAGTTTGGAGGTTCCTCAAAAAACTAAAAATAGAGCTACGATATGATCCAGCAATCACAATCCTAGGTATATACCCAAAAGAAATGAAATCTGTGTATCAAAGAGATATTTGCACTCTCATGTTTATTGTAGCAGTACTTACAATAGCCAAGATTGGGAAGCAACCTAAGTGTCTACAACAGCCAAATAAATAAAGGATCTGTGGTACATATATACAATGGGTACTATCCAGCTATGAAAAAGAAAGAGACCCTGCCATTTGCAGCAACATGGATGGAACTGGGGGTCATTATGTTACATGAAATAAGCCAAGCACCAAAAGACAACTCTGTATGTCCTCACTTATTTGTGGGAGCTAAAACTTAAAACAAATGAACTCATGGAGATAGACAGTAGGATAAAAATTACCAGAGAGTGGGAAGGGTAGTGGGGTGTGTGGAGTAAGGATGGTTAATGGATACAAAAATATAATTAAATAGAATGAACAGGATCTAGTATTTGATAGCACAACAAGGTGACTACAGTCAACAATAATTTATCATATATTTAAAAATAACCAAAAGAGTATAATTGGATTGTTTATAACACAAAGAAAGGATAAATGCTTCAATGGTGATGGATACCCCATTTACCCTGATATGATTACTATGCATTGTATGCCTGTATTAAAATATCTCACATACCCCATAAATATATACATCTACTATGTACCCACAAATATTAAAAATTAGAAAACATTAACTATTGGGGAATAATTTAACAAAAGAAGTATAAGATCTGTACACTAAAAACTACAAAACACTGTTGAAAGAAGAACAAAATAAATGGAAAGAAATCTTGTGTTCATAGATTGCAAGATTTAATATTGTTATGATAGCAATATTCCCCAAATTGATCTACAGATTCAGCACAATCCTTATCAAAATCACAGCTTCCTTTTAGAATAAATTAATGAACTGCACCCAAAATTCATTTGGAAATGCTTAAGTCCCAGAATAGCAAAAACAATCTTGAAAAAGAACAAAGTTGGAAGACTAACATTTTCTGTATTGGCATAAATACAGACATATATATTGATGGAATAAAATTGAGAATCCATAAACATTTACAGATTCTCTTAGAAGGGTGCCAAAACAATTAATGTAGACCGAATAGTCTTTTCAACAAATGATGCTAAGACAACCAGATATCCTCATGCAGAAGAATGAAGTTGAGGCTGGGTGTGGTAGCTCATGTCTATAATCCCAGCACTTTGGGAGGCCAAGGCAAGCAGAGCATTTGAGGTCGGGAATTCAAAACCAGCCTGGCCAACGTGGTGAAACTCCGTCTCTACTAAAAATACAAAAAATTAGCCAGGCGTGGTAGCGGACACCTGTAATCCCAGCTACTCGGGAGGCTGAGACAGGAGAATTGCTTGAGCCTGGGAGACAGAGGTTGCAGTGAGCAGAGATTGTGCCACTGAACTCCACCCTCGGTGACAGAGCGAGACTCCATCTCAGAAAAAAAAAAAAACAACGAAGTTGGACCCCTTCCTTATACCATATATCAAAATTATTTCAAAAGTAATTATAGGCCATGTGCAGTAGATATGCCTGTAATCCCACCACTTTGGGTGGACTCCTTGAACTTAGGAGTTCAAGACCAGCCTGGGCAACATGGTGAAGCCCTATTTCTACAAAAAATTAGCCAGGCATGGGGTGCATGCCTGAGCTCCCAGCTACTCAGGAGGCTGAGGTGGGAGGATCACTTGAGCCTGGGAGGAGGAGGAGAAGGAGGCTGCAGTGGGCTGAGATTGCACCACTGTACTCCAGCCTGGCTAACAGAGTGAGATCCTAACTCAAAACAAAACAACAAAAAGGTGATCATAGATCTAAATGCAGAAGCTTAGGCTACAAAACTCTTAAAAGAAAACATAGGAGAAAATCCTTATAATGTAGTGTTAGGCAATGTTTCTTAGATTAAAAGCACAAACAAAAGATAAAAAGATAAATTGGACTTCATCAAAATTTGAAACTTAAATGCTTCAAAGGACACCATTAAGAAAGTAAAAAAGAAAGCCTGTGGAATAGTATGAAATATTCAGATCGGGCTGGGCGCAGTGGCTCAGGCCTATAATCCCAGCACTTTGGGAGGCCAAGGCGGGTGGATCACGAGGTCAAGAGATCAAGACCATCCTGGTCAACAGGGTGAAACCCCATCTCTACTAAAAATACAAAAATTAGCTGGGCATGGTGGCGCGCGCCTGTAGTCCCAGCTACTCGGGAGGCTGAGGCAGAAGAATTGCTTGAACCCAGGAGGCGGAGGTTGTGGTGAGCCGAGATCACACAATTGCACTCCAGCCTGGGTAACAAGAACGAAACTCCGTCTCAAAAAAAAAAAAAGAAACATTCCAGATCATATAGCTGATATGCTGTATCAAGAATATGTAAAGAAGATGTACAACTCAATAATAAGACAAATAACCCAATTTTTAAATGGGTAAAGATTTCAATAGACATTTATCCAAAGCAGCTACATGAATGGCCAACAAGCATATAAAAAGATGCTCAACACTGATCCAGCAACCCCACTGGTGGGTATATAGCCAAAGAAAATAAAATCAGTATGTCAAAAATATATGTGAATTCCTATGTTTATTGAGGCATTAATCACAAGAGCCAAGATATGGAATCAACCTAAGTGTCCATTGATGGATGAACGGAAAAAGAAAATGGGTATATATACACCACAGAATACCACTCAGCCTTTAAAAAAGGAGGAAATCTTTACGATAAGGAGAAACATCCTCCAGGTTCATCTCTGTTGTCATAAATGATCCAGCCACAAATGACAACAGAGATGAACCTGAAGAACATTATTTTAGGTGAAATCAAGCACAGAAAGATAAATACTGCATGACCTCATTTATATGTAGAATCTCAAAAAGTTGAACTCAAAAGAGGTAGAGCGAAGAATGGTGGTTGCCAGGGGCTGGGGGCAGCAGGGAGGTAGGGGTGGTGTGGAAAGATATTTGTTAAAGGACACAAAATTTCAGTTAAGTAAGAGGAATAAGTTCAGGATATTTATTACACAAAATGTTGACAATAGTTAATAACGTATTATATTCTTGAAGACTGCTCAGAGAGTTAAGAGTCTGCATCATAAAAAAAAAAGTATGAAAGGTAATACATGTGTTAGCTTGATTTAGCCATTCCACAGTGTACACATACTTCTTGAGACAAGAGTCTCACTCTGTCACCCAGGCTGGACTTCAGTGGTACAGTCTCAGCTCACAGCAACCTTTGCCTCCCAGGGTCAAGCAATTCTCATTACAGGCATGTACTACCATACCCAACTAATTTTTAGATTTTTAGTAGAGACAGAGTTTCACCATGTTGGCCAGGCTGGTCTCAAACGCTTGATCTCAAATGATTTGCCCACCTCAGCCTCCCAAAGTGTTGGGATTACAGGCAGGCGTGAGCCACTGTGCCCAACCCACAATGTACACATACTTCAAAACGACATACTGTGCATGATAAATATATACAATTTGTGTCAATTAAAAAATAATTTTAGGCTGGGCACAGTGACTGACACCTGTAATCCCAGCACTTTAGGAGGCAAAGGCAGGAGGATTACTTGAAGCCAGGAGTTTGAGACCAGCCTAGGCTACAAAGCAAGATCCTGTCTCAACTCTTAAATAAGAAATAAGGTTAAAAAATAATAATTTTAATTTTTTAATTTTTAATTCTATTTTTTTTTGAGACAGGTCTCCCTCTGTCACTCAGACTGGAATGCAGTGGCACGATCATGGATCATTGAAGCCTTGACCTCCCAGGCTGAAGCAATCCTCCCACTTCAGCCTCCCAAGTAGCTAGGACTGTAGGTGTACACCACCACACCCGGCTAACTTTTAAAATTTTTTGTAGAGATAGGGTCTCAATATGTTGCCTGACCCGGTCTCTAACTCTTGGGCTCAAGTGATCCTCTTGCCTTGGACTTCCAAAGTGCTGGGATTAAAGGCATGAGCCATAGTACCTGCCTAATATTTAGGAAATAGAAGTATTTTCTAAAAAGGAAAAAATAAAAGACACTCAATATCATTATCACTAGGGAACTGCAAATTAAAACTTCCACCAGGATGGCTACAATAAAAAAGATGCAGTAAAAATATATGTTGTCAAGGACAGGGAAAAATTGGAATCCTGATTACTGGTGAGAATGTAAAATAGTACAGAGCTTTGGAAAACAGTTTGGCAGTTCCTCAAAATGTTAAACATGGAGTTACCATGACAACCCAGCAATTCCACTCCCAAGTATATGCCCAATATAAGAGAAAACAAATATTCACACAAAAACTTGTACATGAATGTTCATAGCAGAATTATTCATAACAGCCAAAAGGTGGAAACAATCCATATATCTAACAACTGATGAACAAATAAACAAAATGTGGTATGTATCCATACAACAGAATATTGTTTAGCGATAAAACGAATGAAGTACTGATTCATGCTACAACATGGATGAATTTTGATAATATCACACTAGGTGAAAGAAGCCAATCACAAAAGACCACATAGTTAGTATATGAATCTATTTATATGAAAAGTGTAGAACAGGCAAAGCCACAAAGACAGAAAGTATATTAGTGGTTGCTAGGGCATCAGGGGAGGTGGAAATGGGGAGTGAGTGCTAATGGGTATGGGGTTTCTTTTTGGGGTAATGAAAAAGTCTAAATTAATTAGATAATGGTAATGATTGCTTAGCTCTGTGAATACACTAAAAACTGATCTGTGTACTTTAAAAGGGTGAATTGTATGGTGCATATGTTATATGTCAATAAAACTTTTATTTAGAAAATTACATAAAGTCGCACCATCTTTTTTTAGTTATTCCTCAATACTAGACTTCAAAAATTACATAGATACAAAGAAACAAAACACCAGATTTTTAAAAAATATATTAAACATCACTAAGAAAATGCTAGTTGGAAATTAGTCAAGGCTCTAGTAAAATGCCATACCTTGCCACATTGCTTGTAGGAAATTCCCTTTTGCTGGCAGTATTCATAGAGGAGGGCTGCACCTTGTACACATAATTTGGCTTTCAGAGATTCAGGTTTATAATAAATTCCACTATGTATAACACCACTGTTATGTCCAGTCTGGTGAACAGCTACAGAACAAGAGAAACAGGGTAAGAGTATGTACATACATGATTCATACAAAACATTAGAAGAGAACAAACTTATTATAGTTGAAGTTATTGGTAAAATTCTGCCTGAATTTGTTGAGATCACTGGTAACTTCTTCTAACAGCCATCCTTGGTATCCAGGTCACATCGCTCCAGCCCGTCTCTGATTTCAACTACAACTCTGGTGCACAAACTCACCTCTCATAACCAGCAAACCACTTCAGGGGCCCATTAGGGCTCTTTGGACTCTGCCTTAGGGCCTCTGGTAACTTTTTTAGAGAAGGGCACAGGGTGCTCAACATCACTAGTGGCCATCCTCAACCATCAGGGACAGGAGCTGATGGATAAATGAGCACAATCCTGGGAAACATTATATTGCTCCTCAGGGGTTCCAGTGGAATCCAGCTCACAGCAGCAATCTTAATGATGTGTTCTCACAACTTTTCCTCCTTCCCTGTCTTACTTTCCTCATCCCCTCACTCCTGTTTCCTCAGATAACCTCTCAAATAAATAACCTATAGCCATGTCCTTGTCCCACATTCTGCTTTAACTTCTCAAATAAATAACCTATAGCCATGTCCTTGTCCCATGCTCTGCTTTCAGAACACAAACTAAGATACTAACATTGACATTCAACATGAAAGATTCAGAACAGACAAAATGAGCAGATGCCCAAGTAAGCCCAAAGAACAACACTGATTATATACATACCTAAATCTTTCTCCTTTTCCAGAACACCAATAGAAAGTGATGGATGTCGCAGGATGAGTGCTCTGGCAGAGGCAAGCCCCACAATTCCGCCACCAACAATGACTATATCAAATGAGCTTCAAGAGAAAGTCATCTTTAAAGTAATACATGTTTACAGTAGACCTCATCAAACTTCAAATGCATAATTTTCATCATCAATGGACAATTATTAATTTATAATCATTAAAATGTATTGGCCCTGTGCTATTTGGTTTCACATGTATAAAGAAAAAAAAAAACCTTAAAAGTTATATGAATCAAGTCTGGGCATTAGGGCTCATGCCTGTAATCCCAGCACTTTGGAAGCCAAGGCTGGTGGATCACTTGAGGTTAGGAGTTCAAGACCAGCCTTGCCAACATGGTAAAACCCCATCTCTACATAAAGTACAAAAATTAGCTGGGTGTTGTGGTGGGTAGGTATAATCCCAATTACTCAGGAGGCTGAGGCTGGAGAATCGCTTGAACCTGGGAGACGGAGGTTGCAATGAGCCGAGGTCATACCACTGCACTCCAGCCTGGGAGACAGAGCCAGATCCTGTCTCAAAAATAAAAAAGTCTGGGTGTGGTGGCTCATGCCTGTAATCCTAGCACTTTGGGAGGCCGAAGCAGGCAGATCACCTGAGGTTTGGAGTTCAAGACCAGCCTGACCAACATGGAGAAATCCCGTCTCTACAAATACAAAATTAGCTGGGCATGTTGGCACATGCCTGTAGTCCCAGCTACTCAGGGTGCTGAGGCAGGAGACTTGCTTGAACCCCAAAGGCGGAGGTTGCAGTGAGCCAAGAGCACGCCATTGCACTCCAGCCTGGGCAACAAGAACGAAATTCCTTCTCAAAAAAAACCAAAAAAGTTATATGCATCAAAAAACCTTAAAAGTTAGTTATACACATCACTGGTCAGTAGCAAAATCAGCTACAGCTTACTGGTAGGCAAGATAACTGGTTGCCCAATCTGCTCTATATCTCCATAACATGGCAGCCAGGCTAGTTACATAAGTGATTGCAGTCACGCATTGCTTAACCATAGGAATAGGTTCTAAGAAATGCACTGCTAGGTGATTCCATTGTGCAAACATCATAAAATGCACTTAAACAAACCTAGATGACATAGCTTACTGCACACCTAAGCTATATGGTATAAGCCTATTGCTCCTAGACTACAAACCTGTACAGCAGATTACTATATTGAATACTACAGGCAACTGTAACACAATGGTATCTGTGCATCTAAAAATGTCTAAATATAAAAAAGGTACAGAAAAAAATATGGTAATTTTTGGGACCATCACTGTACATGCAGTCTGCAGTTGACCAAATGTTATGCAGCTCGTGACTATACTTGTGTTAAGCATAACTATGCTTCTACTACCTATCCTCGTAAAATTCCAATGTAGTATTCTTGACAATGTGTTAACACATTAAAGCTTTAACACTTTAGTGTGCAATAATTTTTACATGTTTTTCTTTGAGAAGGAAATAACTCTGAGAACATAAACCTTGGGGCAATAATTGGTCTAGAAATGGGCTTAGGAACTACACAATCTTTGCCATGGCAAACCCTGAGTATACAACCATTTACAAAATGTAGAACAAGCATGTGTAATTTATATAACTTTGCAATTAGAAGCTTAAAGATTACCTTTAACACTGATCTGATGGTCAACAAATAAGAGTCTTTTAGGAACAGTAAACAGAGGAAAATTTCAGAGATTAGGCCCTTTCTTTGAAAAGTGATCTAAGTTTCAATTTCAAAATCCTTAGCAAAGCACATAATTTGATCAGAAATGTTACCACACCTATGGCTATATCTGGAAGCAGAAACAGATCCTAGACAACTAGGAATATATATAAGCTTGACAAATCAAATCCTGCATCTTAAATTAATTTGGGCGTCATAGAGGATAAAGTTCCCTCTGTCAGTGCATAATCCTCATAACTTGAACAGGGAGAACCTCTAGGTGACACACAGCAGGTGGTTCTCCTGCAGCAGCTTTAGACTAGATAAAATGGTTGTTAAGGATGATGAATAATGCACACATTTAAAAAGAGAGGGTATAAAAAGAGCAGCACAAGTAAAATGGGATTCTGGGTCCACTACATTAATACTAGTTATTGGCAAATGCTTACAGTAGTCAACTAAAACATTACTAATATGATTAGAGTGTATTTGGAAGTCCAAGCCTTTAAATAGGTTTTTGAAAACATAAGTTCAGTAGATAAAAGGTAAAGCATTCACATTCCACTATAGTTACTTATATTGATTTACAGCCATTGACCCTTTACACAACTTTCACAATAAATAGATCTTCTGTGGACTCCAAAATATCCTGGCTTTTAAAAATTCCACAAGAATAACCATTGTTAAGATAGGATTTTTATTTTCCAAAACATCTTATAATCTTCCACTAAGGTAGGTGTTCAAAACATTTACAAATACTTAATACATTTGTATGTGTATGACTTAATCATATTTTATATACAGTCATCCCTCAATAACCACAGGGGATTGGTTTTAGGACTCCCATGGATACCAAAATCCATATATTCAAGTCTTTTATATGAAATGGCACAGGATTTGCATATAATCTACACACATCATCCAATATACTTTAAGTCATCTCTGGATTATTTATAGTAAATAGTACCACGTAAATGCTATGTGAATAGTTGTTATACTGTATTTTAAATTTTGTGTTTTTTATCGTTTTTTTGCAAATATTTTTGATCCATAGTTGGTTGAATCTGCAGATGCAGATCCCACAGAAATGAGAACCGACTGTAATTTTTTAAACTTATCAAGTTTATATCTATATCAATCATGGCAGTGCACTTATACGACAGAGAGGTATCTTTGATACTGTTTTTTTTTTTTCTTTTAAGTTCAACTATGATGTTACGCTTTGTCTTCAAGCCTCGCTTTTCTGTAAAAGGTAGCAAAACCTTCACTTAGAGGGGTGGTCTTAACTTACATAATAATGTTTCTCATCCTTGCTGCCTTTTGGGTTTTTTGTTTGTTTGTTTTTTTAATAAAGACAGAGTCTCCCTTCGTTGCCCAGGCTGGAATGTAGTAGCATGATCTTGGCTCACTGCAACCACCTCCTCCAGGGTTCAAGTGATACTCCTGCCTCAGCCTCCCCAGTAGCTGAGATTATAGGCACACACAACCATGCCGGGCTAGTTTTTGTATTTTTAGTAGAGACGAGGTTTCGCCATGTTGGCCAGGCTGGTCTCAAACTCCTGATCTCAGGTAATCCACCCACCTCGGCCTCCCAAAATGCTGGGATTACAGGCATGAGCCGCCCCTTGCTGCCTTTTGATAATTGTAACACAAAAGCTTGTGGGGAGGTAGACCTTCCACTTAGAATTATTACCTTGGTACAGATTCCCAGCCAACATATTGTTTTCGCAGATTATATTACATCCATCAATAAACTTTTCTTACTTTCAAACATAAAATTATCATAGTGAATGTGCTTTTTCCAACTACATGTGCCGCCCTCACTCCCTCTCCTCAAATCTGAAGGATCACTTTACAGCCCTTAACAACCAGTTCACTAATTGTCTTTGGTATCCCATTCTACTCCCTCCATCCATCAACACGCAGCGCCAGCATCAACTTTCAGAACATCAACATTTAATCACTAGCCTCTTCTTGAAATTCTTTTAAATAGCTTCCCGTGGCTCTTAGAATAAAATTCAACATGTGGTTAAAATAAAAACCTTGCTGTGATGTAACCCTTCTCCCGTGTCATTCCACACCATCTGTCTTCCACTAAGCTCCAGTCACCACCTATGGCCCACCTTCTAGTCCTCAAAATAACCAAAACCTCTCCAAGCCTTACATCCTTCACACAAACTGCCTCTTCTACAGAGGGCAGAGAAAGTGGTTTCGAATGTGACCTCCAAACTATACATCACAGGGCATTGAATTCTGCGGGCTTTGATTAGCCTACGGGCTGCTTCCGACAGGGGCAACTCAGCGGGCTCTGTCAGGAACTAAGACTGTATTCAGATCTTCCAAGCAACCCCAAAGACGCCAGCTATATTTGATTGCTTATACGTGTACTAGGTCCTTTTTATCCTCCAAACGACCACCTACAGAAGAGACTAAGGTCCCAGTCATAACTGAGCCTTCAAGGAGGTTAAGTAACTAGACGAGAGTTCAACAGAAAGTGGACGGGTTTAAAGCCAGAGCTAATCCTGACCTCTACTCCATACACCGCCTTTCCTCCCGCCCGTACATAGAACGAATGAACCCGCAGATTTGTAGTTCCTGGGATGCGAGGCTGGAGCTCCACAGGACCCCAACCTGCCCTCACCCCGGGACAGGGAAGTAGGAACAGAGACACAACTCCAGCACGAGATGGCTCTGCGAGAGGCAGCAGCGCCGGCGGCGGGGAGGACGAGCAGCCACTCACCTGGTGCTGGCGCTACGGCCACCCCCACACAGCGGTCGGGGCCTCCCCGACGCCGGCCCGCACGCCCCGGGGAAGCCCCCGAATAAACCCCCACGGGCCCGTCCGCGGGCACCAACCAAGTAACGCAGCGCTGGCACCATCGCCTGCGCCTGCTGCCCTTCCTCAGCCCTCAGAAGCTACCACTTGACCCTCCACGGCCGGCAACCTGCGCACTGTAGGCCCGCCCCTCATGCGAGGTCCAATGAAGCGCGCGCCTTCGTCCCACGTGGAGAGGCTGCGGTGGCCAATGGGCGCACGCGGCGGAGGGCGAAGGGCAGGCAGGGCGCCGCAGACGCGGGGACTCTGGCTCGCTCCCTCCCACCCTCCAAAGCTGTGAGTAGAGGCGCTAGGCCCTGAGCGGGGCGGGACGAGGGTGGGGGTTGTGTTCTGCCCTCGCCCTTCGCCAACGCTGGGCTGACTGAAAACATGGCCCTTCAGGTAGCGCGTCTTCGACTTCCACCGCCGTGCGGGCAGGGGGCCGCGGGAGAAAGTGTGGGCGGGAGTACCGTGAAAATTCTTGTTAGGGTGGGCCCAGCGGCTTCTTTCTCCTGCTCGACCTCGGCCCCGCCCCTGCCCCGCTTCCGCCCGCTCGGCTCCGCCCCCGCACGAGGCCTGTGGGAGGCGAAGGGGTTGGGCACCCATCGTCTTCATTCTCGGTCCCCTCTGAGTCGAGCGTCCGCTAATAGGGCGCTCCACGTCCGACCCTGGTCCTCGCTCCTCATGGAGGCTTTTTGTCACAGCGAAGACTGACAGCCCGCAGTCTTCTGGACTTCTTTTATGGGGCTCTGAACAGAACAGAAATAGAATGATACAAATTTATTACCAGAAGCTCTTCACGTGCCTGTTAGAATCTTGGTTCCAGTCTTTGGTCAGGTGGCTCCAGGAAATCACTTCACCTCTTTGCCTCAGACGCCTCTGTGAACTAGGAATGATAGCAATGTCTTCCTAATTTTTTTTTTTTTTTTTTTTTGAGACGGAGTTTCTCTCTTGTTTACCCAGGCTGGAGTGCAATGGCGCAATCTCGGCTCACCGCAACCTCCGCCTCCTGGGTTCAGGCAATTCTCCTGCCTCAGCCTCCTGAGTAGCTGGGATTACAGGCACGCACCACCATGCCCAGCTAATTTTTTGTATTTTTAGTAGCAACAGGGTTTCACCATGTTGACCAGGATGGTCTCTATCTCTTGACCTCGTGATCCACCCACCTCGGGTCTTCCTAATCTTAGGGCTGTTGAGTAGATTACACGAGGTAAGGTTATCAGGTGTTTAGCACAGTGGAGCATTTGCAACCTGATGACATTTATTATGGTCAAAGGATTTTACCACCAGAACAGGGGTACATACTTTGCTTTATTGGTTAAAACAATGTAGAATGTTGCCTGCTGGTTCGATCACAGATGAAAAAGATGGTTATTCAACTTTGTGAAATAATTGTGGATTCCCATGCACTTTGGGAGGCCAAGGCGAGCCGATGACCTAAGGTCGATAGTTTGAGACCAGCCTGACCAACACTGAGAAACCCCGTCTCTACTAAAAAAAAAAAAAAAAAAAAAAAAAAAAAAAAAAAAAAAAGGCCGGGAGTGGTGGCGCATGCCTGTAATCCCAGCTACCCAGGAGGCTGGAGCAGGAAAATGGCTTGAACCCAGGAGGGGAGGTTGCGGTGCCTGGGCAACAAGAGTGAGACTCCGTCAAAAAAAAAAAAAAAAAAAAAGGAATAGAGATTCTGTGTACCCTTTACCGAGTCTCCCCAGTGGTAGTATCTTGCAAAACTAGGACAATATCGCAACCAGGTTATTGACATTGATACAATCCATTTGTGCTATAGCTAGAACTTGAGCAACGCCATTTTATAAAAGACAAAGCTGTTTTTCAAAAATAAGTTGTAAAGGCTGCCCCATTAACTGCGGGCCTTGGCTAGTAAATAAGACTGCTAGTTTACTTTGCAGAATGTAAAAAGTAAAGCTGCTTACCTTCTCTTTATCAGTAACTGCCAGAGTTGCTAGCCTTTACTTACCAGTAATAACCAAAATGAGCAGCCCAAAATAATTCCATCCTGGCCCCTACAACCTGTAATAAGTAACTAAAATTTGTAACCCTACCCAGATAAAGTATAAACTAATGTTTATCTTGACTTCTGTAAACCGCTTAAGTAACAATCAGAATAACAAAAGTCCCCTAGCCCTTAAAATGTCCAGATCCCACCCTCCCCAACCCCACCCTCATCTCAGCCCAGGAAGTGATTTACAGAATCCTGTCTGAAGCCTTTCATCCCCATCCCCGCTCCTCACCCCCACTCCCAAGGTGGTTTTACAAGTATAAAAAAGTCTTGTCACCCTTCTTTCTCTGCCACGAGTTAGAGAGACCTAAGTCCTCTATAGTCGCCAGCAATAAACCCTGCAATTTAGCATACTTTTGTCTTAATGTAGACTTTCTATGCTCACTCCAGTATAACACATTGATCTCATTCTGGTTCCTTGTTTTGTATTTCTGTTATTTTTCTGTGTATTTAGTTCTATATGGGTTATCAGGTGTGTAGATTCTTGTATCCACCACCACAGTCAAGGTACAGCACAGGTCCATCACCACAAGGGTCCCTCCAGTTGCCCTTTCATAACCACAACTTCCCTTTGTAGCCTCACCCAATGTTTCTAAAATTTTGTTATACCAAGAATGTTACATAAATGTAGTTATTGTCATTATACAGTATGTAACTTTTTGGGATTGACTAGTTGCATTCAGCATAATCCCTTGAGATACATCCAGATTGTTACATGTATTGGTAGTCCATTCCTTTTTATTACTGACATTCCATAGTGTAGATGAACTACTGTATTGATATGGTTTGACTGACCCCACCCAAATCTCATCTTGAAGTGTAACTTCCACAGTTCCCACATGTCATGGGAACCAGGTGGGAGGTGATTGAATTATGGGAGCAGGTCCTTCCTGTGCTGTTCTCTGGATAGTGAATTAAGTCTCACAAGATCTGATGGTTTTAAAAATAGGAGTTTCACTGCACAAGTTCTTTCTTTGCTTGCTACCATCCATGTAAGATGTGACTTGATTCTCCTTGCTTTCTGCCATGATTGTGAGGCCTCCCTAGCCATGTGGAACTGTATTAAACCTCCTTTTCTTTTCACTTTCGGGTATGTCCTTATCAGCAGCATTAAAATGGACTAATACAAATATATTCAACTGTTCACTCATTGAAGGACATTCGAGTTCTAGTTTTTAACTGTTATCAATACAGCAGCTATGAACATGTGTACAGCCTTTTGTGTTAACTTGTTTTTGTTTCTCTAGGATAAGTGCCCAAGAGTGCAATTGCTGAGTCATATGGTAAGTGCATGTTTATTTATTTTTTTTTTTTCTTGAGACAGGGTCATGCTCTATTGCCCAGGCTGGAGTGCAGTGGTGCAATCTTGGCTAACTGTGGCCTCTGCCTCCTGGTCTCAAGCGATTCTCCTACCTCAGCCTCCCCAGTATCTGGGACTATAGGCACATGCCACCACGCCCTGCTAACTTTCGTATTTTTAGTAGAGATGGGGTTTCACCATGTTGGCCAGGCTGGTCTCCAACTCCTGACCTCAAGTCATCTGCCCACCTTGGCCTCCCAAAGTGTTGGGATTACAGGCATGAGCCACTGCGCTGAGCCTAATTTTGTAAGAAATTGCCAAACTTTTCCAAAGAGGCTATACCACTTTAAGTTCTCACTAGCAATGTTTGAGTGCAGTTTCTCCTCATTGTCATCAGCATTTGATGTCAGCATTTATTTCTTTTAACCATTCTGATAGGTATGTAGTGGAGATGGTTTTTAGTTTTCACAGGACAGAGTTGATTTGTTACTAAGTTGCATGCAGAATGTGTGCAGGGGGCTGTGGTTAGATTTTCATGGCCCCCAACGGAGCCCATAGTTGTGCTTTCTTTACTACTATTTAATTTTCAGCATGTGCTTCTTAGTTTAGCAAGGGTGAAAGAACTCAACACATAGACTCTTTTTAAAAAATCTCAGCTTACATTCCCCTCTAAGATTTGACTGTCTAGCAGTTTGTTTTGATTAAGTAATTTCATACTAAGTGTCCGACCTACCCTCTGTGGGAAGACTGAGCTCGTTCGGAAAAAACCGGACCGCAGGCTAGAGGAAATTCCTTAAGTTCAGGCTTTATTGAGAGGAAAGAGCCTCCGGGCGGACCAGCCGGGAGGAAGAGGAGAATGGCCGCGCCGCTCAGAGGGGCAGGGTTGTTTTATAGGGGGCTGAAGGGCTGGGGGGTGGGGAAACCAAAAGCCGAGGTGGTGGGCAACTGTTGGTCAGTTTGAACTGCTGGGCGGGAAGCTGGGCAGCGGGAGGGCTAGGGCCGGTATGTAAAGTGAGAGATAAGGGAGCCTCTTTGTGGGGGAGGGAAAGAGAGAGAGAGAGAGAGAGCTTTTGTGGTAGGGGCAGAGTTTTCCAAACATTCCCGACTCCTTAAAGAAAAGAAAAAGAGGGGGTCAGGGGCGTCGGTTGTCTCTCTAGCTACTTCCTGCTGACAAGGGTCGACAGGGGGTTCTGAAGAGGTCTCTTTTCTTAAGGAGCCTGGATGTTCGGGGAGAGGTCTGTTTCTTGCACTCGTTTAGGGTAGGGTTGGAGCAGCATCTGGTGGATGGTGACTCGAGTCAGTTCTTGAAAGCGCCACTGTAGGAACTGTAGAAAGCAAGGAGCAATAAGTAAGATTAGGCAAACAGCTACTAGGGGCCCAAGCAATGGGGACAAGAGGGTATACATAGAGGAAGACCACCACGCTGTGGCTTCAGCTGAGAACTTCTGACTCTGCAGGTTAGTTTTGAGTTTCTGGAGGCTCTCGATTCGGGTTTCTACTAGGCCGGATTCATTGATGTAGTCACAGCACTCTTCTTGTAGGAAGATACAGGTCCCTCCTCGTTCAGCAGTGAGCAGGTCCAGGGCTCTTCGGTTCTGCAAGGCAACTTGGGCAACTGAGGTGATCTGTCGTTGGAGTGATGCTAAAGACTCAGTAGAGTCATCAATAGCTGCTTGGAGTTGTGAGGTCAGTCGGGCTATGGCCAGGTGAGAGTGGACTAGTGCCCCTCCTCCTAATCCTGCTGCAAGTGCTGAACCAGCAAGGGAGACTCCAACGGCAATGGGTAGGAAGGCAGCTCGTCGAGTGCGGCGATGGGGAGTTTGCAGCATCTGGAATTCGGCTGGGGAATATATAGTGAGTCGAGGGACTAGGGTTACCAGGAGGCATAAAAGAGATGAGGAAAGACCAATGTAGAGAGTTTTTGTTAAGGTCTTGTTACACCCGAAAAACGTTCCTCGTGGGGCTGTTATATTAGTGGTTACCCGTATAGTTCTGTTACATCTAGGGAAGTTTCGGCCTAGGGAATAGCACACACGTAGCTGTTCAAAATCAGGTGGAGTGTAGAGATCGACTTCCCTGACGGGGGAGAAGGAAGAAGTTGAGGCTGAAAGGTTGAGAGGGATGGGGTAAAGGACTACAACGAAGGGAGTCTGTCCTAAGAAGGCACACATGAGGCATGAGGTTAGGTCAGTTAATTCTGAGAGGTTAGCTAACTTGATTCCTTCTTGGAGAAAGGTTAACCAGGAAAACGGAGGCGAATGTGGTTGCAATTGGTCATTCAGAGATTTTTCTTGTAGGCTAATGTCAGAGTGGTCTTGGTGGACTGTACGTACGTATGCCCGCCAGATGTACAGGTGGGAAGAGGGATATTTGGTATCTATGTGGTCATACGCGGCAGCTTTCTGAGGGCTTTTCCACCGGTTGTCCCAGGGGTCAGGTATGAGAAGGGAATACCGTGTAGAACCAATAATGGTGTTTCCTTCTCCATCTATGTCTGGGATGATTTTGAGCTGAGATCGGGCAGGTACTGTGGACTCGATAGCTATATGTAGTCGACAGTTCATCCAAGTACATCCCATGCAGGAGCGCCAAGGAGTATTATTGCATGTTCCTGATGGTTGGTCATGGTTGAAGCACATGAGAGGTATAGTAGTATGGATGTTGCGGAATTTGGTGAAGTTCAGCTATATGGCACTTTGGCATCCGGCTGCAGGGCAGTCGGAAGTTGCAAGAAGGTGGTTGTGGCTGTATGGGTATTACAGATGAAGGTGGTTTTGGTATAGTTTTCAGTTAGGAAGAATCTCCATCTGTAGGGGGTGTGGCTGCTAGGCCCTGGTAAGTTTGACAGATAAAGGGCCGGTAGGAACAGCTTTCCAGCATAAGGAGGGTCCATGAGGGGCCTTTTTTACCCGAGAGAGGTGAACCCAAGATGGGATTTCAGCAACTCTTATAGCTGATGGAGTGGTAAGGAGGACTGTGTATGGTCCTTCCCACTTGGGGGCGAGGGGCTTTGGGGAGAGGGACCTGATAAGAACTGAGTCCCCGGGGGAGACTTTCTGTGTATTTTCAGATGGCTGGGTGGGTTGGGGAAGAGAAGCGTTGGCGTGTTCTCGGAGAAGGCTGCGAAGGAGAGTAAAGTAGGGGAGGTAGCTGTCTAGAGGAGTAGTCTCTGGCGGTGGGGGAGTTGAAAGTAGGAAGGGGCAGCCATACAGCAGCTCAAATGGGCTAAGCTGTGATGGGCCCCGGGGGCCTGCTCTTACCCTGGTGAGGGTGATAGGAAGTAAGGTTACCCAGGATTGGCGGAGCTCAAGCATGAGCTTAGTCAGATGCTCCTTTATTAGGCCATTGGCCCGCTCCACCTTACCAGAGGACTGAGGATGGTAGGCGGCGTGTAGCTTCCACTGAATTCCTAGAGAGGTAGAAATGGCATTAGTGACTTTGGAGATAAAGGCTGGGCCGTTGTCTGACTGTATGGTGGCTGGGAGTCCAAAGCGTGGGATGATGTCTTGAATGAGATGAGTGGCTACTGTCCCGGCAGACTCAGAGGCTGTGGGGTAAGCTTCAATCCAGCCTGAAAAAGTGTCAACAATGGTTAGCCGATACCGGTACTGTTTGTGCTTTGGCATATGGGTGAAATCAATTTGCCAGTCTTGGCCAGGTAGGAACCCGTGTAGCTGATGAAGCTGGCGCCGGGGATGACAGGAACCCTGGGAATTAGTTTTCACGCAGACAGTACATGAGGACTGGACTTCCTGTATGGTACTGAGGAGGAGGTGGGGGTGAAAAAGTGGGTTGAGGAACTGGTATAAGGCTTTAGGCCCAATGTGGAGTGAATTGTGGATGTCTTGGATTATCTGGTACCTTTGCTTTTCAGGGAGGATGAGGAGGTTATGCTTGAAGGCCCAGTCATCCTTGAACTGTACCCCGGGGGTAGACTGGAGGGCCTGGAGTTCCGAGGCAGAGTATTGAGGGCTAGGAGAAAAAGGCTGTGTGGGCTGGCGGTGGGGAAGGTTATGACGGCCTTCAGCTTCGAAAGGATGTCTCGCCCCAGAAGGGGAACTGGGCAGGTGGGGATTACTAAAAAGGAGTGGGTGAATGGAGTGGAGTTATATGAGCACATGAGTGGTGGGGTTTGGTAGGGGATACTCGGGGTCCCATCGATTCCCATGACTAAGACCTGGGAAGGGGTGAGACGACTAGAATAGGAAGGAAGTGCAGAGTAGGTAGCCCCCATGTCTTGTGACCCTAGGCTCGGCGAGGGTAACCGGAGTCGGAAAGCCAGGGCCCCACTAGTCATCTAGCAGCCCTAGTAGACTGGGGAACGGAGCTCCCTCGGAGGTCGGCTCCTGGCAAGCAGGCTCCTCCCTACTGAGGGTGACCGCCGGCTGTGTAACGCCAGTGTGTCTGTTTTGAGGAACCGGCACCCTGGGGAAGCTGGGGTAGTCTGACTTCCAGTGTCCCGGGGGGTGGCAGATAGGGCAAGGCTTAGTTGGTGGCCGTGGTTGTGGACAGGCTCGGGACTAGTGTCCTTTCTTTCCACATTTGAAACATGCCCCTGGAGGGGCATGGGTTTCGGCCTTGGGCTTCTGGTTCCCTGCCGGCCTTAGAGCCGCCACTAGGGCTTGGGTCTGGAGGGCAACCTTCTGCTTCATGCGAGTTTGGCGGGCAGCCTCAGCCGCATCTTCCCTGGCATTGAATACTCTAAAGGCCATTTTTACCAGATCTTGGATGGGAGTCTCTGGCCCCTCTTCTGCTTTCTTTAGTTTCTTTCTTATGTCGGGTGCTGATTGGGAGATAAAATGGGAGGCTAATACAGTGGCCCCGTTTTGGGAGGCTGGATCTAGTCGAGTGTACCGGACTAGGGCTTCTTATGCTTGAGTGAGGTATTGGAATTCTTTAATATAGGTGGACGGGTCGGCTGAGAAGGATCTTAAACGTTTCTCAATTTGGGACAGGTCTTGGAGTGAGAAAGGAACATGGACC